GTGTGTGTGTGTGTGTGTGTGTGTGTGTGTGTGTGTGTGTGTGTGTGTGTGTGTATAAGAGAGAGAGGCTAGCAAAAGACCCTTTTAAAATTAAAAGGAGAACAAGCACTTTTGTGTTCTTTCTCCAAGTGCAAAATACTAGTCCCATTGTCTTTTCCATCCAGGCTTATCATGATTATCACTCTGAAAGTTGTGATGGGGATAACTTGTACAACAGAGAAAATTCCTTTCAATAAGTATACAAATCTTAACATCCCTTTATCAGTGCTTTAAAAATAGATGTTTTTTTCCAGAGCCTTCTTCTAACACTGAGATGAGAAAACACTTGGTATTTACAGTTGAGGATTATCAGATATAATAAAAGATTAATAATTGTATATATTTTTACATTTTGTAAAAAATGAATAAATTTTTGGTTTCAATAAATTATTTTTATTATCACTGTGTACCTTATATATCTCCTTGACTTGCATAATTACAGCCAGTTTTTGCTGAGAGTAGAAATAATGTTGACACGTTAAAGTTATGCTGATGCTATGCAAATTATTTGTAATAGAAATAATTTTCTTAATCTGCAGGTGTGGCTAACTACTATGTTAAAGGATGATGTATGGGTTGAATCTGAAATGAGAAAAATGGATATGACAAATAGGTAAGAGAAATTATAATTGTTTCACTTAATGGAATGCTGTCCAGGTTTACATTTGTGATGAAGGACTAAGACCAGGATAATTTACTTTCATTCAATAGATTACTTTGGGCTTCTCAGCTTTATCTACGTCATAGGCTTGTTGTTCTTGGAACAACATTTAATAAAGGAATATTTTAAGGACCTCAAACTCCTGGAGCTGGATATAAAAGCTGGATATCTTATAAAGGAATTCTCTGTTATTAATTTCTGATAATAATTCTACAAAAAAAATCTGTTCTAACCATTTATGCCAAAGCAGATTCATCTATTCAACAATTGTATAATTTAGTGCACTAAGATAAAAAAGATTCTAAAAATGCTTTGAATTTAGTTGAACTAATTTTAACTTATTGTAAGGCTACATTTACAGAATCTTGCAAATCTGAAGGCACAGGTTTCCTACTGCCGCTTTCAACTGCTTGATCCATAAGCTTCCCTAATCCATAAAAAGGTTTTCATAGTCACTTGAGTTATAGTAACTGATTTATAGGTTTGCCATATTGAGTTTTGGGCTATCTCCAAGATGCCTTGTCATTTCTAAATCATATGCAGAGTTATGTCAAAAGGTTTTCCTTCCAAAAAGGAACAGCTGAGCATACTGTTCAGAAGATTTTGCTTCTGCCTATTTACCATTTATACTTTTCCTTTTTTCCAAATCTACTCTTTCTTCCAAAACCTTTCATTTAAGTCAAGATATATTATTGCTTAGTATTTTTCCTAGTTCCTCAATAGTATCGAAAACATCAGTATTTCTTTAAGTGTCTGTTGTATTCACATGCTTTAGCTGAATTGTACAACATTATATTATTTTAATCCTGGTTTCTCAAATGCTTTCCAAGACTTTCTAAAGGATCCGGTCTTTTCATCTAGAACTGTTCTCTTTTGTTCAACACTCAATCTGCAAGAGAGATTGCAGCATTCCTGCTTTCTCCAGGATACAGTATTGTCATTTAGATTTTACCAAATGGTTACCTGAATTTTGCTCTTCTTGCAGTATTACTGAATCATTATTCCCATAGAGATGAAACCTGAGAAAGGATTATTCTCTGTTTGGTTACTTTAAAAAAATCAAGTCTTATCCAGCTAAGAAGACCTAGAAAACCTAGAACTACGCCACCTTCGGTTCGATCTAAGTGTAGTATATAACATCATACATTGCAATGTCCTACCTGTCAATGAATAATTCAGCTTCAACCATAACAACACAAAAGCAAACAATAGATACAAACTCAAGGTTAATCGCACCAAACTTGATTGCAGGAAATACGACTTCAGCAACAGAATGGTCAATGTCTGGAATACTCTACCTGACTCTGTGGTTTCTTCCCCAAACCCCAAAACTTTTAACCTTAGACTTTCTACTATTGACCCGTACCCCTTTCCTAAGAGGTCTGTGCATAAGCGCAGCAGTGTGCCTACTGTCCCTGTCCTATTGTTTCTTTTATTTTTCTTATATGTATCCGTGTATTCATAACTATGTTTTTGTTTTCTTAAGTTTTCACAGGTACTTACATGTATGGTATTCAGCTTTGTTTGGGTATTTTCCCACGTCATTATAGTTGTGCTTTTAAAGTTGTAGCAATGTTTCGGCAGAATCTCATCTGCCATCATCAGGCTTCTGAATTGTGTTCGTCTGTGAGTCAGACTTTCACAGCCGTTTCAGTTTTAAATTTGGAGCTAGCCTACTGCTGTGCCAGAATGGTTTTTTCTTCATCCTGATTGGTTGGGAGTCTTGGTCTGTGTTTATTGGTCTTGGAGTTTGCTGTGTTCTGCTTGATTGGTGTTTCTAATATCTTCTGTCTGTTTTGTGGCTTTTTTTGTCTTGATTGGCTGGCAACATTGTGTTCCTGTATTGGAGGCTTTTAGTGCGGCTTGGCTCCGAGTAAATGGACGGCTATAATTTATTAGGAAGCTAGGTTTCATCTGAGTGCCTGCTTGGGGTGTGTTTGAGCTGGAGGTATCAGGGGGATCTGTTTGTGCCTAGGTGTTTTCCTGGCTTGTGGTGTGGAGATTTTTTTGTTTGTGAGTGCAAGCTTCCAAATAATTGACAGTTTATATGACAATTTATATGAAAAATGAAAAACGGGATGAATCCGCCCTAGCCATGACGGTAATTTGAGTTTAACTGTCACGGGGTTAATTACTCTTACTATATCAAAAGGGCCTAAATATTTTGGACCCAGTTTTCGGCTGTTCAATTTTAATTTGATATTTTTGGTAGAAAGATACACTTTATCTCCCACCTGGAAGGGTTTAATATCCTTCCGTTTTTGTTTGTTTGAACTTTATATTCTCTGGAAGCTTTTTCTAATGCTTTTTGTACGTTATTCCAACATCCTTGTATTTGTTCTGCCCATTCTTTAACACCAGGTGGGTCTTCCTCTTGACAGATGAATTCTGAACTTGGGCCGAATTCCATACCATGTACTATATAAAATGGACTATACCCGGTACTGCTATGCAGGGCGTTGTTGTAAGCAATTTCCGTGAATGGTAATAAATTTTCCCATTCTCTTTGTGGATGTGAGATATATGATCTTAAATATCGTTCTACCATGGCATTTGCTCTTTCTGCGGCTCCGTTCGTACTCGGGTGGTATGCCGAGCTGAGTCCCTGAAAAGACCCCATCAAAGTGAGGAACGCCCTCCAAAATCGCACCGTGAACTCCACCCCATGTCGGATATTATTCTTCTGGGCGCCCCGTGTAATCTATACACTTGTGTCACAAACATATCTGCCAATCGTTCTGCCAATGGTAGGCCTTTACAAGGGACAAAATGCGCCTGTTTTGAAAATAAGTCAATTATGGTCCATATTACTGTGTATCCCTTGCTGTTTGGCAATTCAACAATAAAATCCGTGGCTATATCTTGCCATGGATGTGTTGGCTCTGATACTGTCTGCAATAGTCCCATTGGTTTGCCTACTCTAGGCTTAGATGTTGCTCATACATGGCATGTCTTTACATACTGTTTGACATCAACCCTCATTTTGGGCCACCAAAACTGACGGCGGGTTAGATGAAATGTCTTTAAAATCCGAAATGTCCTGCCTGTTTTACATCATGACAATTTGTAAGTATTTCGTCTCTACACTTGGCTAGCACGTACACTTTATTCCCTCTCCAAGCTATGCCATCTTTAAATGAGCACAAATGGGATTTTTTTTCAGCCAACCATCTTGTGTAGTAGCGTTTTGTATTGTGTCATAGGTTGTTTCCTTTAAACAAGTCACTTGACCAACATTTTTAGATGAGTTATCAACAATTAGGGGTTGAATAATAATACCTTGTATTGATTGATATTGGGGCAACCAGGACAATGCATCTGCCATGGAATTTTGTCCTTTCGGTACATACTTTAATTTGAAATTAAATTGATTAAAGTACAGAGCCCACCTGACCTGCTTAGGAGACAATCATCTTGGTTTTTGTAATGCTTCCAAATTTTGGTGATCCATCCACATTTCAAAAACCTCCTGTGTCCCTTCCAGGAAATGCCTCCAAGTACTCAGTGCCCATTTTATGGCGAAGGCCTCCTTCTCCCATATCGCCCAGCCTCTTTCTGTAGTAGTAAACTTCCATGATGTATATGCACATGGCTGTAGTGCTCCATTTTCGTTCTCCTGTAACAGGACAGCCCCTATGGCTACATCACTTGCGTCCGCCTGCACGATGTATTTCTTCGTTGAATCAGGATGTCGCAAAATGGGTGCCTGAGAGAATAATGATTTCAATGTTTCAAAGGCCTGTTGACATTTAACTGGTTGATTTGGCTTTGCTTTTTCTGTTTGTTTCTTTTGTTTTTAGCAACTTGGTTAATGGCAGTGCAATGTGGGCAAATTTCGGTATAAATTGTCGATAAAAGTTTGCAAAGTCCAAAAAACTTTGTACCTGTCTTCTTGTTTGTGAGATTTTCCATTCCATTACAGTTTTTACCTTCATGGGATCCATCTCCAATCCTGCATTAGAGATTCGGTATCCCAGGTAGTCTAGTTTCATACAATGGAACTCACACTTAGATAATTTGATATATAATTTGGCATTCAATAATTTAGTTAATACACTCTTCACCAATTGGATGTGTTCTTCCATAGTTTTTGTGTAAATAAGTATATCACCCAAATATACTAGCACCCCATGGTATAAATGTTCCTGTAGTACACCATTAATAAGTTGCATGAATACCGCGGGGGGCCCTTGTAATCCAAAAGGCATTACTTGGAATTGATAGCTTCCGAGGGGACAATTGAATGTTGTTTTCCATTCATCCTCAGGTTTTACTCTCACTCGATAATATGCGTCACGCAAGTCTAATTTAGTAAAGAAATGTCCAGTTGATAGGGTAGCCAACAACTCACTGATTAATGGTAATGGGTACAGGTTATTGACGCAGACCGCGTTAAGTCCTCTAAAATCAACACAAAACGTAGGCCACCATCTTTTTTTTTCTCGGAATAGTACAGGGGCAGCTATTTGCAATCGTCCGGCTTTAATAAATCCCCGAGCTAAACTCTTGTCCAGAAAGTTCCACATTTCTGTCATTTCTTTCGGTGTCATTGCATACATTTGGGGTTTTGGCAATTTTGCTCCTGGAATCAGTTCGATAGCACAATCCGTTGGGTGATGCGGTGGTAGAATCTCACACTTTTTCTCACTAAATACTTCCGCCAAATCCTGATAAACTGATGGAAAAGAGAAACTACTATGTTCATCTAGTAAACTAATGGGCTCCACCCTTAAACTCTGCTGTTGTACATCTGGTTCTTGTTGCGGCAGTTCTGGTCCTATAGAAAGTCTCAGCCATCTAAAACCACTTTCCCTCCAAATGGTGGGTTTCCAACGATCCAACCATACTAAACCTAAAATAACTGCCTCTCGCATTTCCGATACCACAATGAATCTTAATCATTCCCAATGGGTTCCAATTTCTAATCGAATAGGAACTGTGATCATCAGAGCCGGCACTCCCCCTAACAATGACCCATCAACCTGCTCAAACTTCATGGGGGTAGGAAGGGGTTCTAATGGTACATGCAGTTCATCTACCACACGTTGACTAATCAGACATCTGGTACATCCAGTATCTATCAATGCTCCATATTGGCCTCTAATCCCTACATTATCTAATATTATGGGTATTATAAATGGTCTAACAGGAGAGCTTACCATGGTGTCTTATTGGCTGTCATCACCGCTATCATACAGTCCCGACACAACTCTCGGCTGCCACAGTTCACTGTATTGCTTCATCTCTCGTGTGGCCAGAGCTGCGGATGGTTCTTGTTGTGTGACACCCTGTGATTTTTCACGACTACTAACTCCCCTGCCACTATATCCAATTTGTGAAACATTTCCAGAAGGACCCCTCGCTGTTTTCTTCATACGTCCTGTATCTATCGTAGGGTATTCAAACGCCCTATGTCTTAATATGTTACAACAAAAACACTTTAGGTTTAAACGACCCAAATTATTGTTGGTCACAATTCCTTGTACACCCCTTCCTATTCCCACATTAGTTCCAACCGGACCAATCCTTCTTGGACCTTCGGATTTCTCTCTAAACTCCTTTAACCCTACATCTAGTTCAACAACAGTTTTATACCAGTCTGTTATTCGTTGGGGCACACCCCTGTAGAGACAAGCCTGTCGTAATCCTCTATCTAAACCAGCCCTGAATTCCCTAATCAATAGATGTTCTGGCCAAGTTCTCAGTTTCCCAGCCAATCGTCTGAACTCCCTGACGTATTCAATGGCTGGTCTTCCATTCTGTTTTAATGTCATTATTGCTTCCTCAGTCTGGTGTACTCTAGACTTATCCTCGGCTCCAGTCCGTTCTTTATTGGAGTCTTGACAATTAATTTTAGGAAGGGAAAGAGTTTTATGGGAGTTGTATCTAATCAAATGTTACACATGCAATAGGTCTTCCACTAAACAGCTCTGTAGTTTTAGAACAGGGGTCCCCAACCCCCGGGCATGGACCGACTCCGGTCCATGACAGACCAGAAACTGGTCTGTGCAAACAAGTGAAGCCTCACCTGCGGGATGCAGGGAGTACATGAAACCACCTCCCTTCCAGTCCATGGAAAAACCTGTCTCCATTGAACCGATCCCTGGCACCCAAAAGCCTGGACGCTTCTGTTCTAGAAGATTACAAATGGAGTTGTGCATAAGTATAGTTTTATATGTATGTGAATTCACAGATGATTGGTTGAAGATCTGTAGTTACAAGTAAGCAAGTTTTTTTTAATAAAAAATCCTTGTACCATTTTAAGAAATATGTCAATGGCAAACTTTAGCAATATGTCATTTAGAAATATGTCAATGGCAAAGGTTTAGGAATCAGCTATATGTACACATTACAGTGTACAGGTGTACAGTGTACTTGTGCAACAAGTATGATCCAGGTGTGTTTGATTTCAGATGCTATGATCCCCCAATACCCCTGGCTGTCATTCATAGATTGGGTAGGAATGGCAAGAAGCTTTCCACAATCTCATGTCCTCAGTCAGCCTCTCCCTGCACTCCCTTATTTGTTAAATTCTGTTTTGTGTTATACTTAAGACAAAAATCAGCAAAATGAAATCATTCAGCAATATGTGAATTTCATAAAGTCTTTATTTTCATTTCAAAAGCCTACCTCAGGAACCAAGAATCCTACTTTTCCTGATGGCCTTATTGTGTGGCAGGAAAAGGGCAGGAGTAAGCACAGAATTCTTATACAAGACAGCTAGCTGATCACTTTCCAAAAGTGATAGCAAATAGGAATAGGATTTCATGCTGATCAATCTCCTTTTTGATTTTCATACATACACATACAAGAGTAATGTACTGATCAAGATGAAACTTGGACTCATGTTGTGGTCTCCATGGAAAGCCTGTGTATGATTTTGAGTTAGGCACACTCTCAGTTGAAAAAGTTTTGATGAGGAAATATTTGATATTTAATGTTTAATTCAATATAAAACATTTTAAAATATTTGTGTTTTTGAAACAGTGTAATTGATATAACTTTTCTGCTGATTATTTATCGGATAGATGGTATTACACTAAATACATTGTTCAAAAAAATAAAGGGAACACTTAAACAACACAATGTAACTCCAAGTCAATCACACTTCTGTGAAATCAAACTGTCCACTTAGGTAGCAACACTGATTGACAATCAATTTCACATGCTATTGTGCAAATGGAATAGATAACAGGTGGAAAACATAGGCAGTTAGCAAGACATCCCCAATAAAGGATTGGTTCTGCAGGTGGTGACCACAGACCACTTCTCAGTTCCTATGCTTTCTGGCTGATGGTTTGGTCACTTTTGAATGCTGGCAGTGCTTTCACTCTAGAGGTAGCATGAGACAGAGTCTACAACCCACACAAGTGGCTCAGGTAGTGCAGCTCATCCAGGATGGCACTTCAGTGTGAGCTGTGGCAAGAAGGTTTGCTGTGTCTGTCAGCATAGTGTCCAGAGCATGAAGGCGCTACCAGGAGACAGGCCAGTACATCAGGAGACGTGGAGGAGGCCATAGGAGGGCAATAACCTAGCATCAGGACCGCTACCTCCGCCTTTGTGCAAGGAGCGACAGGAGGAGCACTGCCAGAGCCCTGCAAAATGACCTCCAGCGGGCCACAAATGTGCATGTGGCTGCTCAAATGGTCAGAAACAGACTCCATGAAGGTGGTATGAGGGCCCAACGTCCACAGGTGGGGGTTGTTCTTACAGCCCAACACTGTGCAGGACGTTTGGCATTTGCCAGAGAACACCAAGATTAGCAAATTTGCCACTGGCACCCTGTGCTCTTCACAGATGAAAGCAGGTTCACACTAAGCACATGTGACAGACGTGACAGGGTCTGGAGACACCGTGGAGAACGTTCTGCTGCCTGCAACATCCTCCAGCATGACCGGTTTGGCAGTGGGTCAGTAATGGTGTGGGGTGGCATTTCTTTAGGGGGCCGCACAGCCCTCCATGTGCTCTCCAGAGGTAGCCTGACTGCCATTAGGTACCAAGATGAGATCCTCAGACCCATTGTGAGACCATATGCTGGTGCGGTTTGCCATGGGTTCCTCCTAATGCATGACAACGCTAGACCTCATGTGGCTGGAGTGTGTCAGCAGTTCCTGCAAGACGAAGGCATTGATGCTATGGACTGGTCCGCCCATTCCCCGGACCTGAATCCAATTGGGCATATCTGGGACATCATGTCTTGCTCCATCCACCAACTCTATGTTGTACCACAGACTGTCCAGAAGTTGAGGTATGCTTTAGTCCAGGTGTGGGAGGAGATCCTCAGGAGACCATCCACCACCTCATCAGGAGCATGCCCAGGCATTGTAGGGAGATCATTCAGGCATGTGGAGGCCACACACACTACTGAGCCTCATTTTGACTTGTTTTAAGGACATTACATCAAAGTTGGATCAACCTGTAGTGTTTTTTTCCACTTTAATTTTGAGTGTAACTAAATTTGATTTCCATTGATAATTTTTGTGTGATTTTGTTGTCAGCACATTCAACTATGTAATGAACAAAGTATTTAATAAGAATATTTTATTCATTCAGATCTAGGATGTCTTATTTTTGTGTTCCCTTTATTTTTTTGAGCAGTGTATATAAACTTTAAAATCACTAAAATCTTTTTGTATGAAATTTAAAATCAATATGTTGTCAAATTTCAACATAAAAGTGAAACTTAAAAAAGTAGAAATTCTATTACTGTATTTTGTTCTGCAAACATGCTTCAGTTCTACTTAATTTGTTGTTTTTTTAATATGTATTATTTCATTTTTAGCCTACTGCTGTTTAAACCTTACTCATCTTTGTTTATCTTGTACTTCTAAATTGTAGTAAAGATTCCTTTAAACAAGCTCATTTGAAGTGCACCTTAATGCTACAGAAAGGTACTTTTGAATATGCTAGTTGTTCATCCGTGGCCACCTGGGTTTGTAAAAGAAGCGTAGGTAGGTAAGACTAAGTCAGTTCAATTTTCAGTTGTAAGTTGATTTCTTGCTAGAATTAAATTTTGGGAGGATTTGGGATACAAACTGATGGGTCAAGAAAACTTAAGACTAATGTGCAGATGAAAACTGATCCATTAGCATTTATAGTTTTCAAATGTCTGGCACAATTCTTAATTTAAAATTGAAACAAAAACAGATTTCAAATGTGTATTTTGAGAGAAAAATATATTTAAATTTTAATCTGAAAACTATACTTACTTTATTTTTTCCTTAATATTGAAGATTTGTTAAAATTCTTTAAAATGGAAAAGGCAAAATATTTCAAAGCAACAGTAAAGATTGAAGGGAAGAGTAGCCTTTAAGCATTCTGAATAAAGCTTTTAGCTCTCCCTTTAGTCCTACTTCTCAACTCACTTATAGGATCTTTTTGAAAGCTCTGAACATTGAGGTGCTGTTCCTTCCTCAGTGCATTCTATACTTATTCTCATCTGCAGCCATCATCTCAGAAGTGCTGCAGAACACTAGTAGTAGACCCACACACTGCACAACCAATGACAGCATTGTGTGTATTGCAGTCTATTCTCCACTACTGTGATATTTTTATCCTGCTGCCATGTCCAATAGGATAGTAGTAGCAGCAAAGACCCCTACTCCTAGTTGTGTTCCTTACTGAATGTTCATCTTCCCGCACCTATAGATTGGACTTGCCTAGATTGCCTAGTCTATCATGAACAACATGGGAAGAATGTCTTTCCAGTTAGCATTAAATCTATTGCTTATTCAATTGTCTCAATGTGAATAATTATCAATTGTCTCAATACGAATAATTCTGGAAGTGACTTGCCACATTACAGTACACAAGAGTACTTTGAATAAGCTTCCTCAAAGTACTTCTTTCCATTTTATATGTGTTGCTCAGTATAAAATGTGCATTGGCTACTGCACTACCAGCATTAGATTGTTCGGAGAGGGACAATTCAGGAAAGCCTTCTCTGCTCTAACCTCTGCTTAATGGAATACTCCTTCCTTGGAGATTAAAATGGCCCCAACCCTGTTGGCTTTTTGTAAGGCTTTAAAAACTTGCTATGTACCTGGGCCTGAGATTCGGAATGTATTACAAGCCCCATTACTTGGCTTTACTCTTAACTGATTAATCATCATAGCTGCTGTTTCTATTTATTTATTGTATGGATGTTTTTACTGCTTTAATGTTTTTTTTAATTGTTTAAAAATTATAAGTAGCCCAGAGTTACTAGTTGGGCGTCTATAGAAATTGAATAAATAAATAAATGCAATTTTATATTGATGGTTCATATATTTACGAAGTAATATATATTTTCATAGAAACACTATGAAAGAAAGAAACATTGTTCTAAAAAAAAGCAAAGAAATCAATTGAATTGTGTGTTTTTTTAAAAAATATTTTAGATACCAACATGTTTTGGGAATACTCTAAAAAAATACTTATGTTTCCATTGAGCAAAAAAACCTATGAAAAGATGGAATATGCAAAGTCAGCCTGCCTTTTAGAAAAAGAATGCACTGGAATTAGTTATTGGAAAAAGAAGTACCGACCAATCAGTGGTAAAGAACTGATTTCAACTCAATCAAACCAGGATACTGCATACATAAAAACTGGTAAATGTTCAGTTAATGTGATATATATTATGGTATTTATTGTGGTATGATCAAGAAATATAATCTAATCAGTTTCTCTTTAAGAGGGACAAAATATAGCTCCAATATATAGAAATTGAGAGAAGATGTCATACTCAAAAGAGACTAAAATCTTCAAAATGGGTGATCAAATTCTGCCATCTGTCTATGATGTCCTGAAAAAAAGTGTATTAAAGAAGCAAGAACATAGGAGCAGTGATTAAACATCTCCACATCCACAACAAAGCAATTGATCTCAAACTCAGCAGCAATTAGAGTCTGCAACTGCCATGATGGTTGAAGGTTGAAAATACTTGGCCATTTTAGAATTGTTATCTTCTTCTGGTAGAGATGTTCTCATTCTGAATATAGATTTTGTAATTGAAATTATATTTTGAAAAAATATTGTAATTACTGTTTCGGTAATTAATCATGAAGGAAGTCTTAAATGTTGCCTTGAGCCTTGTTATTCTTAGTGGGTTATAAATAATAGACATGACTTTGCCATCTGGCTTGGATATTTGGTAGTAGTGGTGTGTACTGTTAGTGAGATTGATTACACTCTCTTGCAGAATATTTTTTAGGATTTTAAAAGTTGGTTATTTTTATATTGACTTTTGGAACTCTATAAGCTGCCCAATATGTGGGATTGAGATATAAATTGCACAAACAAACAAACAAACAAACAAACAAACAAATAAATAAATAAATAAATAAATAACAGAAACAAGATTCAAAAGACTAAAAGGTTAAGACCTTGATGAAGTTGTTTGATGGAGGTTGTACAAAAATTTATGTTTAAGCTTTTTAAAAAGTAAAAGGCACGGTTATTGGTGGAAATCAGATGTGGTCACACACATATGATCTAATGATGTCAGTGGATCTTAGTATAATCTAACAGCATTGCCACTGCTAACATGCTAATACAGTCTTATATAGTATTAACAGGTGTGTTATGTCTTGATCACAAAAAGCAGTATTTCCCTTTTATTCTGCTTTAAGCCACCTTAGTAGTAAAGTAAAATTTTGGGCATAATAGTTTAATATAATGTTACAAATAATGATTTATTCGCTATTGGTTAAGATGGTTAAGGGCTGAATATGTTTAGATTAGAAAAAAACCAATCATGTATCCCTTAAAGGTCATATTCTCCAGGATTAGAATTAATGGATCAAAATAGTTAAACTGTTTTGTAAAATAGCAAACTATTTGCGAATGTAACAGAATTACAGGAGTTGTGTGTATTTAAAGGAAATTCCATATAGATCCAGTTTTGGCTCATTATATGTTAATTTATTTCTCCACTTACAGTAAGTACAACCAGTATAATGTATGCCCTAATAAAGCATGATATTTGATTAGATATCAAGATAGATAGAACATATGAAATTAAGCATGTTATTTTACATGTAGAGGAGAACATATAGTGACATTTTAAAGTAGTTATATATAAAAAGGTACAGTAATATATGAGTAGGAGCCATAGGGGCGCAGTGGTTAGAATGCAGTACTAAAGCATACTTCTGCTGACTGCCTGCTGCCAGCAGTTCTGCAGTTTGATTTTTACCAGCTCAAGGTTGACTCAGCCTTTCACCCTTCTGAGGTCGGTAAAATGGCTCAGATTTTTTGGGCCAAGATGCTAACTCTGTAAACCACTTAAAGAGGGATGTAAAGCACTGTGAAGCAGTATATAAGTCTAAGTGCTGTTGCTATTGCTATTAACTGTATATGATTAAACAAGCATACAATTATACTAATAAAATATATTGTGCAAAATATGTTACAATATTATTATGAAATGAGGGTGGCGTTTTGTTATTATAAGGTGTCTATTTTTGGAGTTTTAGGAACTTTAATAATGGATTTGTCAAAACAATTGACAGAATTATTTGAATTTACATCAAACTTTATTTTTAAAAAAGCAGCTTTTCTTGGAACCACATATATCCTGGCAGCATTTGATCAATTCTAAGCTTTGGAATAAAGCTTGAATTGTCCTTAAATTACAAGTATTTGTAGCAGGAGCAAAATGAATTAGTATTTCTAATCTTAATCAGATCAAAAATTAGTAGAGCAGTCACCTTTTTAAAAACAAAGTCTGTAGAGATCTAGACCTCTATTAATATTAGTTTTGTTTTTGTATATGTTTTCAGCCTGCAGTGAAGGACGTTATGGATCCTATTGCCAGAAAATATGTCCAGAATGCCCAGAAGATAGACCATGCAACAGATTAACAGGAGAATGTACTGAAGAATTGACATGTGCAGAAAGAAAGCATATGCATCTTTGTAAATTTAGTGAGTACTACTATTTTGGTAAATGGTTTCTTTTATATATTCTGATTGGGTAATCTGTATATAATTATAATTTCCTATCATCAGCCTTCATTTAATAGTAAATTGTTCCATTGGTATTTCACCACTTGAGTTTGCCTAGACTACCTATATTTTTTTTAAGTGAATGGTGCTTGTGGTTTATCTTTCTCTCCAAAATAATGTAGTTTCCTTATTGGTTTCTGACTCTTAGTTGTACTATTGCTTACCATATTTTATTGCCATACGAGTTACTTCTTCTACTTCATTTTGAATACCAGGAGAATTATGAGAAGACTTCTTTCTTCCTGAGCAAGCTACCTAGGTTATAGGAGCAAACATGGTTAGTACAGGCTTTGAGTACAACATTTCTCTAACAATAGTGAGGGCCTGAGGCCTATTCCAATTATTGAGTCACAGGACGGCTACAGCCTCTGTTATTTATCTTGCCTTTCTTCAGCTGCATCTTTTAGAGGCAAGGTTTCTAAGCACATCTTGTACCAAATGATTCCTTCAGTGCATCCTTATTATATCATGGTTTACTCCCCTGTCCCTCCTGTTGCTGGAACTGTTTTTAACTTCTGAACTGCCCTATTCTTCTTTCTGCCCATCAAGTGCTGGTGAACATTTAGGCTTCAGTGCCTTGCATCTCACTGCTTGCAGGATTTTATCCCTCCTTTCCTCATGGCCAAAGTAAAAGGGACTTGACTTTACTTCTCAGAAACCATCCACGAGAACTGTTTATGCTATTAGATAAAATTATTTCCAGATTGAATCCCCTGCAGTGTCAGGTTACTTGTGTACCTTTTACACTCCCAAGTGCCAAATTGTGGCACTATCATCCTTAACATTATATGTAACAGCCACCTTTCCCACTGCTCTTTAGTGAATGTCACCTTTTTAAAAAAAAATCAGTGATGAAGTGCTTTATGAAAGGTTTGGTTCATCTTTATCTGCTGCTATTCCTGCTGATATTGTTACACAAGTGTGCTCTCAGGTTCAGCTTATGGTCACTCACTCACATACCAGCCTGGAAAATTGCCACACTCAATCCCAAATCAACTGAACACTGAGATACAAATGGGTCTTTAAAATACACAGAGACCCAGTGAATTTCAAATAACAGAAAACTTTTACTGATATATTTTTGCTCTTTTACACACAACACACACACACCCAGTGTCCACTACTAGGCTGCCAGACACTAGCCAGAGGGACAGAAACTACCACGTCTGAGGATTGGGCTGGCTTTGGGACTTCTTTTTATCCCCCAGAGTTGGTGGGGAGAGGTTTTCCATGCAGACACAACTCCTTTGTTGGTGACACTTGGGGAGGGGCTTGCCATGTGCTCAGACCCAACTTTTGCTTCCTTAACAACTTGGTTCCTTTCCCTGAGGGAGATTTTTCTGGCTTTTCTTCACCCTGCTTACATGCCTTTGCCACGTTCAGGTACAGTGGTTTTGGTCTAGTCTCACACATTCCTTCCCCTGACATTGAATTAAACAGGAGGTGCCACAAAATGGGGCTCACTCATCACCTGCTCAGAGCATTAAAGGTTTTTATATGTATTCTTGCCAATAGGTTTACTGCAGGGGTGGGATTCTACCAGTTTGCACCTATCTGCTGGAACCGGTTGCTAACATTCTAAGCAATTTGGTTGCTAACATTCTAAGCAATTTGGAGAACCGGTTGTTAGAAGAAATTACTGGCCTAATCCTGTAAGGAAGGCAGGAAGGAAACATTCTGATGTTGCTTACAGAATCTGCTTCTCCATTAACCCTTATTACATTCTTGGCAGGACTAGACTTCCTGTCTCAGGAACTTCTCTGGAGTTTTTTCCCCTCCTTTGCTGGTACTTTGCTTGTGTGGAATGACCATTCAAAGTTACAATGGCACTGAAAAAAGTGACTTATGACCATTTTTCACACTTATGACTGTTGCAGCATCCCCACAGTCATGAGAGGAGATGCATGCCTCAATGTGAGTGATATTGAGTTGGCCACGCCCAGCCAATAATATGACCACCAAGCCATGCTCACCAACTTAGCCATGCCCACAGAACCGGTTGTTAAAAATTTTGAATCCCACCCCTGGTTTACTGTCTAGTTGGTATGGAGGTACAATATTTTAGGAAAACAAATCTACATTTAAAGACTGAGGAGATGAATACAAAAGCAAATAATACAAACAGAAAAATTTGGACAATTTTTTCCCCCCAGGATCCCAAAGCAGGTAACCAAGATGTGAGCCAGGACCAGTTCCATCCCTCTGGATCTTAGATATGAAATATGAGATGTGAGATATGAGATGCTAGAGTCTTAAGCTTGGCTAGTTTTGCTTCAGTATAGGTTAAAACAGGGTTAAAACAGCAAAGATAGTTAAAGACTGCATTGATGTAGAAATGGTCACTTTCAGGAATGTTGTGATGGGAAGCTACTGCTTCTTTTGTTTGACCTCTTTGAACATAGCTGTGTATGGCTTTAAGCATTGTTTTGCAAGATATTAAGCCAGGCTTTGACATGTGTGACAAATTATTACATTGCTGCAAACTAGCAGTAAACTCAATCTCATGCCATCTTAAAAATCTTGGGGCCTTCTATATTCTTTCAGAATAACACCATCTCATTAGCATTGAAAACCTGATACATATTCCTTCTCCTCAATACTTTTTGAGTGTTGTAGTTAGGCTTAGCCTCATCATCAGCTAAAGCATACTCATAAATTTTATATTACAGACAGAATAATGCCTCTTGAATTTCTGGAACCAGCCTTTGCTAGCAATGAAAGTGCTTTCTGCTGAGCTGCTGGGCCGGGGGAAGGGGGTTTGCTTAATTTTGTTGCAAAGAAGACAGCCTTAGCAGAAATCATACCAATATTCATACATTTTTATGGTCTTTGATCAAAATGAGCAACTCATTTTCTGTTCTGACCAAGGCTTCCTGAGACAGTAACAGTCATCCCTTTTGTCTTAACTGTTCTTGCCTTCTGGCAGCTCTGTGCAAGCGCGCACTGGGAACCCCCCACCCCCCACCCCCCGTTCCTCTGCCTTGCTGATGTCAGATTCTGGAGGCTTCGGAGTCGGCACATAACTCTCAGATGGCCCTGGCCCCATCCTTGTGTTGGACGCAGATCCCTCGTCCGAGCCCTCTCCAGACTCCAGGACTGGCCCATGTTCCTCCCCACTATCCGACTCTGCTGCCAGCTCTACAGGCCTCCAGCAGACTACAACATGAGCCCTTCACAAGATTTTTTTGGAATCTGCACTTTCTCATTCAAAGTCCTATGTTTCTTTTGACCCTTTTAAGATTTTGTCCATCATTGGCTGAACTTCATTTAGAATCCATAGGTATTCACATAAGCACAGTAGTATTTTAAGAACAAGTAGCCTAACACAGGCATGCCATCCTACTCAGTGATGCTCAGTCTCGCGCTATATTGAAGACACCTATGTCTCACCTCACTTAGTGAGGAACAACCAAATCTTTTAGCATTATTCTTAGTATGCTAAGTTTTGCTACTGGCACTGTGGAAAAAAAAAGAATATGTGAACAAAGCTCCCACAAATATGGAGATTCAAATATAATCCATAAGTGTGAACACTTCAGAGTAAAAAACAAAATCCAGTTACAGGTAAGTAACTTGTTCTTATACATAAGAGCAGTGTGGCCTGCTATATTTCTGTGTCAACAGTCAGCAGTATCGGAAAAAGAGAGAACATCATATTGTTTTCTCCTAGTGATTTAATTTTGCAATACCAAATCACCAACATATTTTAGAAAATATGGCTTTGTTTTATATCTTGTCCAATATTGTTTGCAACCAGGATCCCCCACTTTCATTTTAAGAAGTTATTTTCATCTCCAAAAACCATTGTGACCATGGCAAGTGACAAGGATATCATGGAAGTAAATGGGGTAGATGTTTTCATCCTTTTCATGGTGGTGGTGGTCCTGTTTTTTGGATTTCACTTGTTTTATAAAGAAAAAGAAAATGTTCTGTGAAAAATCAGAATTTATCCCACAAAGTTTCAGTTGCATACTCGGGGAATGAACTTGGAAGAATGCAATAGATTCTGGGGAACAGGATACCCACTCTTAAATTAAATCCAGACAAATAAGTTGGTTTAGTATCATATTTTAATCAAGAAATTGTACTGAAAAATGTAACAGATACAAATCATACATAGTACCTTCCTTTCACTGATACTTCAATAATATGTTAATACTTTATTTTAAACAAATATTCTATGAATGTTGATCAGGTATACATTTTTGTTCTTTTTTAAGAACTGAAAAGCAAGTTTTGCTACCATTCCTGGATATACTTCAATAAATACTGTTATTATATTCCTACATTTGGGGTGATCAATAAAAATGATGCAGAATACATGTGCAGCCAGTTCAAAGAAGCTGAACTCATAACTTTGGTTACCATTGAAGAAAAGGTAAATAATTTAGGCATATGTCACAAAGATTTTTTAAAAAAACCAGAATAATAATTATCCTGTTTTTAACATTTGTTTTTAATACTTTTAAAACTTATTTCTAATGCTTTGCTGTATAAAATATAAGTAAAATATATTGTTTTGATGAATGGGAATACCTCATGAGTTTTATGTATTTTATGATGCTTTTATATTGTTCTTTTCTTGTTTTAAAATTATTTGAAATTCTTTTTGCTGTTTTTCTATTTATTTTAACTGTTTGTCTCCCAGAGTCATATAGGTGACTATATAAATTTGAATAATAAATAAGTAGGCAGAAAATAAATTGAAATAATTAAATAACATTTGTTTCCACAATCTATATTATATGAAGAAAATAATGAAAAACATAAGAGTGCTGTACAGCGCACCCATTCATACTTATTTGGGAAACATTCTGTTTTTATACATCTGTTTATATTTTAATTTCACACTGCTTCTGCATTAGTTGGAATTAGCTTTTAAACTGTCACACACACATCCTTCCCCTTTAAGTTATCAAGCTCCATCATCATCAGATATATTGCAAATAATTGTAAGGACCCTTAGGGAAGGGAAAGTTTACTTTCTTTACATGAGCTAATGTCCATCTGTTTATTTCTTTTTTCCTTGGTTTGCTTTAGTGAATTGACATGCAAACACCTGAATTGCAACTAGTGTTGCTTTCTTTTGCTTTTAGCAGATTTTGGGAAAGGTTCTTCTATATTTTTAGTAATAATTGAGGAATACCAATTAAGTATAATCAGGGGTAATGTCTAACTTTCGAATACAGATCTGGAATTTCTGAAGCTACCTAGTGGAAATATTTTGGAGGAAAATAAATGAAGTGTTGTGCAAGTAGTTTTTCCCCTTTCAGTTCATTTTCCAAAGCAAAATCTTCTCAAAGACGCTTTATGAAAGAGAAATTATGGCACTTTATACTTCTTGCATATTACTACATGGTTTAATTCTTGATTAACTGTGATAATATGGTGCATGTCCAACCATTTTTATCTCAAACGTGCTCATGCTACACAGTGCAAGCTAGTATCTCTACATTGCAAGACCAACATACACTTGCCACATCCCACCAACTAGTGACATACTGCAATGTACTAATATATTGAGAGTATTTGAGTGACTAATTAAGCAATTGCATTTAATATATTTCATATGAGTAATGCTGGTCATGCTATATAATGAGCTCTTGGCCCAGAAATAGTTATTCAGTACCATTTTAACTAATTGGAAAGTATCCATTTATGCCATAAACAGTTATTGGCTGAAAAATGTCTGTGGCTGAAATTTATCTTGTATGACTTGCTGGACTGCTGGAGGCTTTTAGACATCATGACTTTTCCTATTGACTGTTCATCAACTGCAGAATTGGCTTGCTGAAATAATTTCTGAAAAAGTTTGGCTTCGTGCAGTTAGCCCAGCTTTCTTCCCAAAAAGAATGCTGCCATCAATGGAAAAAAAGATAACAGAAAGGTAAATCTAACCAATTTTCTTCATATGGGTGTTGTGTTTTATTTAATTGTTGTCATGTATAGAAATTAGGGTATGTTAATTATACTCTTAAGATTCTCTTGAATAAGAAAAGGCCACATCCAGGCCAATCTGGCTTGCTAAGGTTAAATCAGGTCCCCAATCCAGTCCTAATAGTCTGCAGTGACTGGGAGGAGCATTACTGATAAAGTTACTGATAATACATAGCTCTACGACACAAGTTGACATGCTTCTGTAGTGACTTTGGGTACATGTTTTATAGGAGGGCTTACATAAAACTTTGTAAAATAGGACAATAGATAGCTAGGTTTTTGTTCCCAGTCTGACTGGAATTATCTCCTCTGTATCCTCCCCACTCTTCCCTCCAACCTTTAGAACACCACGATCCAAGGTATCAAAAGGCAGCTGAGAAATTAAGCATGACCAAGACAAAGCAGTCATGTTCTCCTATCTGGGTCATACCACAGATAATTCACAAAGGCAATCACAGCGAATGCTCAGGCTGGATTTAATGTGAAAAAGGTCAATGATCTATTTCTTACAGAGTTCTCCACAACTGCATACCAAGCATCTTCTTAACCTTCCCCCAAAAGGGAGTTGGTTTATGCTTGACTAAAAATAGTTAGGCTCTCCCCATCATTCTACTTCCTATAAAAAAGAACTTTGTTGCTTCCATCATGTACACAAAAGGTTCAGAAGTCCAAGCTCTTCATCTTAATATGAAACTTTCTTAATAAAACCCCAAACAAAAGGATCTATGATAGGTCCCCTCAAATGGTTGGTTTATTTTGGGTTTTATTAAGGAAGTTCCATATTAAGATGAAGAGACTGGACATCTGAGCTTGATTGTTTTCTTGCAGACCAGAGGTGGTATTCAGCGGTTCTGACCAGTTCTGGAGAACCGGTAGCAGAAATTTTGAGTAGTTCGGAGAACCGGCAAATACCACCTCTGACTGAAGATTTTACAGTATTCTTCTCCTGCCATGCCCACCAAGTAAAAACCAGTAGTAAAAAAAAAAAAAGAATCTCACCACCTGCAGACGTTTCATTACCCAAACTAGATAACATCAGCAATGCTAGTAAGGAGTGGGGTTTGTTGTCAGTTTATATTCTACTGGCGTGTCTTGTTAATGTTGGTGGGGGTGGTCTTAGAGGTTCTTTGGCTGAGCTATTTACTGTTTGCTTGTTTGGCAGTTCTTTGATTGGGGTATTGTTTACTTCTTGTTTGTTGGTCGAATGCTAATCTTGAAGTTAATTTATGCTTATCTGGATACTGATTGCTGATGGGGAGGTGTTTTGGTCTTTTTTGTTTGTTAGATCAAACCTCATAGGACTAAAGGGAGAGAGATATTTGAAAAATCTTCCATTGCTAAATGTTAAATGATAGTATTATGATTTACTATGCAGAGTTAGTTTTACATGTAAAATCATGTAAGACTGAGAAAAACTCATTTTGTGTTTTAGGGTTCTAACAGACAGTGAGGAACTCTGCCTACAGATTCTGCCTGGAGAAGGTCATTTGGTGACAGTTCCCTGTTCCTATAATGCTTCGTGGATCTGCAAAGCCCCTTTAAGTAAATTAATTCCTTATTTCTAATTGCATATTTTTTAAATCTTCATTAATACATTCAAGTTTCTCGAACAACATCAACAAAAAGTAGCAATAACTGGAAAATTTTCTCAGGGGAGATAAGTGAGGAGAAGAGTTTCTCAAAGATCTCTGTTGGGACCATGCTTAACTTGTCGATACATGCTGGCCAAGTGTGCAGAAGATATTATTCAGGGAGGTAAAAGCAAATGGGATTGCAAAGAGCTCCAGAACCATCTCTTTCAGTTAGCTAAATGGTCAAACAAATGGCAAATGCATTTTTTTAAGTAAATGATGCAAATGGAGCAAAAATCCCTAAATTCACATATACATTCACTGGGGTCCAGCCTATATGTAACTAAGCAGGAAAATTGCCTTTTTCACATATAATACAATGAAAGTGTTAAATCAGTGTTTGGAATCTATGAAAATGGCAATTTTCATACTCAAAATCATTAGGAGGTGACAATATTGTATACAAATTTATAAAATTCTACAGTATGTCTATATCTGGAGCAATATGTGTAATTCTAGGTGTTGCATTTGAAAAATATTATATATCTAAATGCAGTATTGTTAGATGGAATTAATCAAAATAATTCAGGGAACTCAGTATACTTTTCTGATGAGTGGAGTCTAGAATACTGAAGGTATTTAGTCTAGGAAGAAGGCATTTGAGAGAGATAAGTCTATAAAATCCTGCATGGAATGGAGAAAATGTATAGGGGATAATTTTTCTCCCTCTCAAAACACTTTGGATCATCAGTCATCTGATATAACTGATGATAACGGACATTTAGAAAATATAAAATAAAGTAATTTTTTCACACAGTTCACCTTACTCCATGAATTTATTACTAGAAGTCATGACAATTCCTATTAATGTGGCTTTGAAAAACTAGTTGCAGGATAACAATTTCAGATGGGAGATATGTCTCCATGCTTGTAAGCAGCCTGTCGAACTTTGAAAACAAGTGCTGAACTCAGATCTTGGCCTGATCCAGCACAATTATTCTTCCGTTCTTACTTCCATTAATTAATTATTTTCTTTATCAGGGTATTTTTATGTTTACAAATTGGTTTCAATGTCTAAACCACAGGCCAGCACCACATATTATGGCAACATATTCCACAGTTTGATTATAGGATTTGAGAATAAAATTTTCCTCCTCTCTTAAAAATCAAAATATATGAAATGGGAATACAATCATCAAAATTAATAAAATATAAATTTAATGGTAGCCCAAGTAGGAGACAACTGGATATCTCACATGACAGCATGATAGTAAAGATTTCTGTAGGCTTAACTCCTAATAAGTGGTGATGCAATTAAATAAAATTATTTCTGAATTTATTCTGCAATGTGCTGTGGTATATTCCATTTTCTTCTTGTCGTTCCAGATGTTATACCAGTAGATGCTCCAGAAAGATGGTGGACATCATTGGTCACATCCACTATAGCAACCATTATCGTATTGATTGTGACTGTGTTTGTAACATTTAAATATGGAGTCTGAATTTCATATATTACAGATGAAGTGAATCCCACACTGTTTAGTGAGATGTCAAGAGCAGAAACTTGTGGAAATATATTTTCATCTCAAAATAAGGGCAAAATCTAGTGTGGATAGTTGGTAGACTAAATTATCGAGTTTTTATTGTTACATTATTACATATTTGTGAATGGATGGATAAAGTTTTGTTGTAGAAATAGAAGAAAAAATGCTTAAGATTAAACATCTGTTCATCTTTTTTAGAAAATAACATCTTAGATTAATTTAGTCTTTAGAAGAACTCCCAGTTTTATTTTCTGCTTATTAAATTAATAAATAAACTTGTAGCAAAAAACCACCCCTCTTTGTATTCCATTGTTTCTGCTGGCCTATTTCCCATATTCTTATAGTTTTTGTATTGGATGATTTAGGAAAGAATACTGCAACTATCACTTTCATGGATCTGGCAATGCTTCATGGAACTCTCTCATTCAGCTGCAGTTTCCAAGCTTTTTGTCCAACTTATCATGGATGCTAATGTCTCTCTTAGGAGAAAGAGGAATCCTTTTACCCACTCCATTCCAACTTTCACAATGTTAGGTGTGTCCTGGTGTGGTTGAAGTTATTAAGGTGGAGACCAACCTCAACTGTATGATTTGGGAAGTCCATTGTGTGTATGTGTTCTCCACAGCCTGTCCTTTGTTTATTTCTGTGAGCTTCCAGCCTTAAAATCAAATAGGACTCCTTGGCCTCTTGCTGACATTTGTTGCAGCACTCAGGGTTGATGCTAATTCATTATTTAACAAGCCTTCGATCAACAATTCGTCATGCCTTTGATCAATGATTCATCATCCCTTCGAAGAACGATGGCGCTAACTTACTTTCATCATGCAGTCATTGATTTGTAAACCCGAACTAGTAAAACTAGCCCACCTTTACTTTCTGCATGCATCTCTCAGAGAAGGATTTGAGAGGAACATAAAGAAGGTCTCTCCTATTTTACTCTGTACTCCCACTCTGTGCCTATGACTGGTTAGCTGGGCTGTGTTTGAATACAGGTTTAGCACTATTTCAAGACAGCCCAGCTGACATGTAGCAAACTAGGAGCAGTTGGGAAGATTGTGGATGATCTCTGTCCTGCTTTCTCATGATGCCTGTTAGCACATGGCCCTGATTAGTTGTGGAATTTGACTAGCTAAATTAGCTATTGTGAACATATGTCTAAACCGTCTCTACTTCATGTTAGATTGATAGTGGTTTCTGTGAGGTAGTGGTGCTTGTGAGAAAAAAGAATGAAAGCTGGGAAACTCTAGTTCCTTTTCTTAATTTGGCCTCCATTAAGGACACTACTTGGCCTTATTACTAGAATAAGATTTTTATACATTTAACTGTTTAGATTTTGTCAAATACAATAGCTGTTTATTGAAAATAGATGAAACGATGCTATCTTCCTATCGTGAAGGAAAGTACAAATGAGCTGCTCTTCCTATTCACTTCAAACATTTATGGATTTTTCTGCATGAGAAAAAATATATCCAAATTTCTGTCATCTGCAGAACCCAGCTGTATTATTTTTTCTTCATCTTTTATTTTTGTTTAAATAATTGCTTACCTCTATCAGATTAACTGTACCTCTAGGCAATTTCTTAGTTGGAGGTTTATTAATTTCAAGAATTAATTTCAAAAAACATTTTTACTCTGGTCTGTTCTCCCTAGTATTAACCTGCTTAATTTCTAAGTTCAGACAATGTCAGTTAAGTGTCTCTGCTGAGGCCATCATTAAAGTTTATGTTGAAAATTTATCTTGCTAAATCACATAAGAAATTCAGGGCAATAATAAATGCTAAAAATTATTACTTTCTCAGGAGAGCAACTGAACCTTGTCTGATAATGTTTATTCTTCTGGGAGAAGTTTAGGATAGGATTTGAGCCACGGTGGTGCAGTGGTTAGAATGCAATATTTCAGGCTAATTCTGCTGATTAACGACTGTCAGCAGTTCGAGTCTTACCGACTCAAGGTTGACTCAGCCTTCCATCCTTCCAAGGTCAATAAAATGAGGACCCAGATTGTTGGGGGCAATATGCTGATTCTGTAAACCGCTTAGAGAGGGTTGTAAAGCACTACGAGGTGATATACAAGCCTAAGTGCTACTGCTATAGACAAAGAGAGGGTTAGAGAATTTAGCCTATCCAAACAAATTCATATCTCCAGTGCCAAATGATTTATGTCCCAGGGTATGGAAGGAACTGGGAGAGGTAATTGCAGAACCCTTTCAATAATGTCTGAGGATTCTTGGAGGACTAGTGAGGTCAAAGAAAATTTAAAGAAATCAATTCCCATCTTAAAAAATGGGAAGAAGAAAGCTTTAGAAAAGTATTGAACTATCAGCCTGATGTCTGTACTGAGCACCTGTCAGCCTGATGTCTACACCCTGTCCCCAAACAGAATATCCTCTGGCTGAGAAAAATGATAGGTACAACTATAGAACAATGATAATGTCCTATACTTTATAATGATACATATGAGATAAATCTGGGCAACCAGATAATTGTGAGGAAATATAATTCTTCATATATCTGAAGGGTGTCACATAAAACAATGAGAAAATTTATCTTAGTTGAGCGAGAAGGCAGGACTAGAATCAAGGTTTAAAATAAAGTAGGAGATTAAGGCTAAACATTAGGAAGAGCTGTCAGGTTGTGAAATAGTCACAGAAAGCCTTGAGTCCTTTCACTGAAAGTCTTGAAACAGGCTGGATGATAACCTCTATTAATAGATATTCTAGTGGAGTCTGTGCTAAATAGTTGATTGGACTATATAACCTTTAATTATCTCTTCACTTCTATGATTTTATGATTCTAATGTTTTCCAAGAGCAGATCTCTGTAAATGTACTGCAGTAATTTAAAGGAATGAAACTATGCACATCATTAGAATTTTAATGTAATATGAACATTTTGCTGAATTATGTCAGTGTCACTTTATAATATAATACCTCAAAACCACCAATAAAGTTACTAGTATCAGAAATATTAGAAAAAAGAAAAACTCTGGTAGCTGCCAAATTTAGTATATTGACTGGATAAAACATAATTTAATGATAGGCAGCAGATGCTTTTGTTCTGTGACATACTATTATGTCACAGTAAAGCCATTAGAGGGCACCAAATATATTTCACAAATCTCTTCATTATTATTTTAAGACTTAAAAAAACAGTTGGGAATAGAAATTCTTAAAACCTTTTTCTGTAGTATTTTAATTGGAGATTTTGTTTCAGCATTTATTCCTATTATATAGCCAGATGGCAGTAATACTGTGGCCAAGCATGCCATCTCAGATAGAAAATATTTAATTACTAGGCCATAGATCTGTTTAATTTGTATTAATAATATATGAATACAGTAAGTATTCTATAAGATTTCATACAATGTGAATTCCATCCACTCACAAATAACTGGACACAACCAAACAATTGAACAACAACAATAAAATTGAGTATCAGTTAACAAGATAAACTTGATACGATATGAAGTTATTTTTATTTGTTTTAATTAATGACTGGTTCAGGGAAGGAGTAAGTTCATGATAAATTCCTATGATAGGGAAATTCAAACTTGAAAATAGCAAGGAAATCCTATTGTTGGGCAATTGTATCCCTTAGATGGCTTACTTTGTATGTTTCATACACAAATTCTGAAATCATGTCACTGAATTTCAGAAGTTAAAATGGTAATATTTTGAAAGTGATAATTTTAAAAAAATCACTATGTTCAAGCCAATTTCTACTCTTTCATCAGATACCTGATGAAAAAAACATCTTCTATCCTTAAAAACCAATCCACCCATCCACTCCAGTTTACATCCTGTATTTTAAATAAACCCCATTTGGCTAGATTGATACATGCTAAGTCAAAACCAAACCATTTATTTCTATAGTTAATGTATGGAGCCAATCAGTGGATTCTTACAGGGAACATTGGGGCTTCCTTTTTTTCTTGGTCTTGCTGTGTTTCACTATTCCCAGATTGACCATTTCTCATTTCTTTCTTCTCAAGTAGACTTTAAAAAAAACTTCATATGGAATTATCTAGCACTTAACTAGTTGCTTCTAAAGCAGTTCTGAAACTCTCACTAGTTTAGCAAGTTTTCTGGAGACCCATGAGATAAAGAAAAACAAAAATGGAGAAAGTGAACTCCTGCCTGCTTTCCATATTCTGTGTATGCCAAGTATTGTATCTGCCACTACACCCTGGACCTTGTGGCTACCTAAGACATATGGATACATATAGCGCTGTGGCTCCACTGAACATGTCAGACCCTTCCTTCCCACCTGTGAGATTGAGAAGTGAGCTGACTATAAAATCTATACAATGAGTGGGCCATTGGAAGACCTGAAAGACCAGATTAAGGACAGACTATGATGGAGAAAAAAACTATGTCACACTAAGATTTGACACTGACTTCATCTATCAATGAAGACTGTGAGTTTTCCATCTCTGAAAGTTTACAAAAAGTTTACAAGAAGAGGCTGGACAACCACCTCTTCCAGGCCCTAGGATGGGGTGCTTGCAAGTCCTATAAGTGACGCTTTAGTTAAAAGAGGTCGATTTGTCCAAACACACACGATTTTCTTTGTATTTTTTTTACTGTTTTTTAAATTCTTATTTGATGTAAGTCATCCAGAGTCATTTTGGAGTAGAATGGCCTCTAACTCTTCAAACATAAGTAACTGATTTTCTTGGAGAAGATTGGATTAGATGAGGTTTGGGGTTCATTCCAACTTTTGCAACTGACTCAATAATACTGTTTTTGCTAGACATCTTTTTTTTTTAATAAAGTTTTATTTGGGTTTTCACACATACAAAATACAAGTAAAACATCTTTTTTGAAAATAGCATGGTCCTGGGTTGAACTTCTTTCTACAGACACGAAATTCAATTTCATGCTCCTTTTTGTATTTTATTCCATATCTTATACTATTTTACATTTTCTATATAGTTTTTCCCCTCTTTTAATTTTCTCA